GCCAGCGAGAGAGGGAACACAAGCAGAGGGAGTGGGAGAGAGAGAAGTAGGCTTCCCGCTGAGCAGGGAGCCCTATGCCGGGCTCGATCCCAGGACCCTGGGACCATGACCTGAGCGGAAGGCAGATGCTTAACAACTGAGCCACCCAGGTGCCACAAAAGATTTTATTTTTAAGTAATCTCTACCCTGAGATCAAGAGTTGAATACTCCACTGACTGAGCCAGCCAGGCGTCCCAAATTGTAAGAGTTCTCTCTTTTTTTTTTTTTTTAAAGATTTTATTTATTTATTTGACAGAGAGAGAGAGAGCACAAGTAGGCAGAGAAGCAGGCAGAGGGAGAGGGAGAAGCAGGCTCCCCACAGAGCAGGGAGCCCGATGCAGGGCTCAGTACCAGGACCCTGGGATCATGACCTGAGCCAAAGGCAGCTGCTTAACCGACTGAGCCACCCAGGCGCCCAAGAGTTCTCTTTATATGCTGGATACAAGTGTTTTTTTAGCTATAATCTGTGGATATTTTCTTTCAGTCTGTTTTATGTTCTCAACGTTGTCTTCAGAGTACAAAATTTCTAAATTTTGAGGAAGTCCAATATATAAATTTTTTCCTTTTATAAATCAGGTTTTTGGTGTCAATTCAAAGATCTCTTTGCCTACACCTAGTGTTATGCACTGAATGGTTTTTGTTTTTTTTTAAAGATTTTATTTATTTATTTGACAGAGAGAGAGACAGCAAGAGAGGGAACACAAGCAGGGGGAGTGGAAGAGGGAGAAGCAGGCTTCCTGCCGAGCAGGGAGCCCAATCCCAGGACCCTGGGATCATGACCTGAGCCGAAGGCAGACGCTTAACCGACGAAGCCACCCAGGCGCCCCTATGCACTGAATGTTTATGTCCTCCCAAAATTTATATGCTGAAGCCCTAAACCCCAAAGTGATGGTATTATAAGGTAGGGCCTTTGGGAGGTAATTAGACTTAGAGGGGGTCGTAAGGGTGGAGCTCTCATGAATGGGATTAGTGCCCTCAAAATGAGTCATGAAAGGGCTGGCTTGCTATGCTCTGAAAGTGGGTAGCTTGCAACATGGAAGAGGTCCTTACCAGAAACCGATCAGGCTGGTATGGTATTTTGTTATAACAGCCTGAAGTGAGACACCAAGGTCATAAAGATTTTCTCCTTTATTTTCTTCTAAAAGCTATTTCGTTTTAGCTTTTTTTTTTTTTTTTTTCAGTTTTAGCTTTCTCATTTAGGTCTATGATCCTACGTTTTCTTCATAATATCCTGCAATTTCTTTTTCTTTTTTTTCTTAAGATTTTATTTATTTATTTGTCAGAGAGAGAGAGAGAGCACAAGCAGGGGGAGTGGCAGGCAGAGGGAGAAGCAGGCTCCTCGCTAAGCAGGGAGCCCGATGAGGGGCTTGATCCCAGGACTCTGGGATCATGACCTGAGCTGAAGGCAGATGTTTAACTGACTGAGCCACCCAGGCATCCCTATCCTGCAATTTCTATCCAATCACTCCCTTTAATCTTCATTCTTGAATATCAACAGCGACCTAGTTGCCAAATCCAATGACCTTTCCTCAATTTTCATCTACTCATTTTGTCAAAACATTAGATAGATGATGAAATAATTACAAAAAAACCTGAGTAAAATAATTGCAAAAGTGCAAGGGAGCAGATCTGGTGAACCTCTCAGGACATAATGTTTAAGGTGACCACTCACAGTACCTTGACCTACAGGGTACTTGATTACACACTTGTTGAATTGGTACTCAATTCTTATGCTGACCCAGGGATTTATATACAATCTTTGTGAAGACTACAGTACATTAAGTACACTAAGAGATCCAAACTGAATTTTATTTCCAGGCTTACATGTGAACAAACCTACGCCTCTCAATGAACCAGAGATCCTTAGGGATCCAACAGACAGAATAACCCAGAGCCAAACCGAACTTTAAGGGCAGGTCTCAAAGTATTGAGTTTCACAGGCTGAGCATGTCTAGTCTAGTCTAGTTCAGTCTAGTCTAGAATCAGACTAGAGCCAGATCTGCTCTAAAGGGTGCAGTAGTGGGGAAAGGGTTAGATTTATCTAACAACTAGGTGAGTTATAATTTGGTTAGATATGGTATTAGGTAAAGAAAGATAAAGCGATGTTTTCTTGTTTTAATATGGCAAGGTCTTATGCATGTTTACAGACTGTAGAGAATGAGCCAGAAGGGAATGAAGCTGAAAATGAGGAAGAGGCAGAGAGAGAGAAAGAATATTGCTGAGGCCAGGTCACAAGAGATGATGGGATCCAGAGCCCTCTAGGGAAGCCAAATTCTCTGCAGAGTTGGAATTGAGTGAAGTTGAGGAGAGAATTTTCCCTTTACTTTTACACTCTGGTATCTGTCTAAATTTTAAGATAATGGGTATTGACTATGTATTCATTTTATAATGGAAAAAATTTGAAAGAGCTCAGAATTTGGTTTAGATAAGATACATAAAAAAAAACCTGTTCAGCTCACATGATCTCCCCCTCCTGCTTTAGTCAGTACCTCTAGCTTATATATGCTAGTTTTCTTGTTTTGCAAAACTATGTTAATATCTCAAAGGCAAAAGTTATGGCTCATTTTGTATCTTACTGTAGCTCTTCATTTAGTGAACACAAGATGTGCTCAATAAACATCAAAAAACAGATTGGGAAAGTGTGCTACAGATGACATTAATATAATCAAAAGATAGCTATTTTGATACATATGGGAACTTGTATATGATAAAGCATGCACTTTAAAATCATTGAGGGAAATATAGGTAATTCAGTATACAGTAGTGTTGGGAGAGTTCGATGTGCATCTGGGAAAAAGTAAAGTTGGGATTCACATCTTGTATTTTGTACCAAAATAAATTCCTGTGTAGAAAAAATCATGGGATTAAAAAAAAAAAAGCTTGGGGTGAGGAATGCCTCTCTAAATATGACAAAAATGCAGAAGCACAGAGAAAAATATTGATCAATTTGACTTGAAAAAAAAATCTGCCTGGAAAAAATATCATAAACAAAGTCAAAACACAAATGAAAAATGTGGAAATATCTGCAACTCATATCACAGACCAAGGACTATTTTCCTTAATAAAGAACTTTTTTTTTTAAAGATTTATTTATTTGACAGAGAGAGAGAGTACAAGCAGGGGGAGTGGCAAGCAGAGGGAGAGGCAGAAGCAGACTCCATGCTGAGCAGGGAGCCCACTGCGGGGCTCGATCTCAGGACCTCGGGATCATGACCCGAGCTAAAGGCAGACACTTAACCGACTGAGCCACCCAAGTGCCCCAATAAAGAACTTTTTACAAATCAGTAAGAAAAAGACCAGTAACACAATAGAAAAATGAGCAAATGATGTGATATCATAAAAAAATTGTTAAGTGTATGAAAATGCTCAATTGCACTCATAATAAAAGAAATTCAAATTAATACAAGATACCATTTTTAAATTATAAAATTGGCAAAGATCAACAAGTTTAAGAACACTGTCTGTTGATGAGCATGTGGGGAAAACAGGTACCCTCATGTACTGCCGACTGTTTATAAAGTTGGTACAACCTTCATTGAAGTACTATGCATTGGTAAAATACATTCCATCTTCATCTCCTACCATTTTTCTCTTGCTCAATCTATATTAGCCACATCTATGGCCTTGCTCTTCCTCAAGTAAGCCAAGCACACTCCACCCCTGGGGGCCCACACACCTACCTTTCTCTACTACTCATGAAATGCATATCGCTTTTTCCTTACCTCCTTCAAGTCTTTACTCAAATGTCCCACCTCTACAGTGAGGCATTCTCTGATTGCTGTCAAAAAAAGTGGCTTCCAAACCCCTCCATTATTCTCTTTTTACCATGTTTTTAATTCCAAGCACTTATCATGTGACATTATTCTATGTATTTATGTTTATTGTCTGTCCTCTCCCACTAGATTGGAAACCTTATAAAGGCAAGGACTTTGTTGTGTATACTGCTACATACCCAGACTCCAGAATAATACAGGCTCAGCATGTAACAGGTGTTCATGGATGAATGGATGAATGAACTTCTTTGAAGGACAAGTTAGCAATATCTATTAAAATTTAGAATAGACATACCCAGCAATTCCCTTCTAATCATAACTTATAGTTTTACAAATGTGCAAAACAGAGAATGTACAAGGTTATTTGCTGTGACACTGTTTGTAATAGTGAAAGGAAAAACAACCTAAGGACAACTTTTAAAATATACCATCTACATCTGTACAATGGAATACTATGTAGATACAGAAGAATCTCTGATCCTGAACATTTTTTTGCTACCTTTGGCAAATGTACATATGACGCATGACCACTGTAAGCCCTGGTGATACCACTGTAAGAATGATCCCTTTGGTTGATGTTCTGGCCTTGACGTGGTGTTGCGGTCTGGTAGAGCGAGCTCCGGAGGTGTCTGGAGGAATTCCAGTGTTTGCTGCGGTAACCTTATCAGCCCGCCAAGATGGCGATGCAAGTGGCCAAGAGGGCGAATGGGGAATACACCCGAAACTAGAGGAACAGCTTATGTGGTCTATGAAGACATCTTTGATGCCAAGAATGCATGTGATCACCTTTCAGGATTCAATATTTGTAACAGATACCTGGTGGTTTTGTACTATAATGCCAACAGGGCATTTCAGAAGATGGACACAAAAAAGAAGGAAGAGCAGTTGAAGCTTCTCAAGGAGAAATATGGCATCAACACAGATCCACCAAAATAAATGTTCTCTGCATTTTCATTTTAGACTAAAACCCATAAATGACCACCATCACCCTTTTCTTATTTTTAATTAATGCTGAATGTTGTAATTTCTTATTCGAGATTCAAAAGGACCTGCTTGAAACTTTGATACGTGTTAGAATATGTTATGTGAATAAATTTGTAACTTTTTGTAAAAAAAAAAGAAGATTGATCCCTTTCATGGGGCTTTTAATGGTAAAGAGAGTAGGGATGGACAGGTAGAAAGAGTGAGTAATTTTTACACCTTTATTTAGTGAGTATTAATCTCCTTGCAGAAAACATAGAATATCTGCCAATTAAACAATATTCTAACAAGAAGAAAGATGTATCTGTACACATATAACCTGGTTCAACAAAGATCTTCTCTTTGTAGATCCAAACTCATGAATAGGCCTAAACTGGTGATGCCTATTATTCATTCATTATGACTAGATTTCCCATTTTACAAACAAACCTCCTTATTTATGGGAAGAGCTTCAGGGTTTCAGAATATCTTTAGTACAGGTTTCCTGATTCCTGGAGCTGCAGAATTCCCCTGCTGTCCATCAAATGACATCCACTTGCAGCTGCAGGGCATTCTGTAGGGCTACTCTCCTACTCTGGAGTTAAAATACATATATATACATATACTCCGGAGTTAAAGACAAATGCACACAGGATAATCCCCTGGTAACCATACACGCCTTCCAATTTTACCAAACTATAATATGCTTACTGTCCCTCAAATAAAATGTTCTAATCCCTATCTCTATACCACTACCCATCCCTCCCCCCCCCTTTTTTCTCCCAGCTTCTCTCATCTGGAATTCTATATAAACTTCTACCCAAACACCACCATTTTGAGGGCCAGGCAAAGTCCCATCTCTCTACTAAAGGACAAAGTCTTCCCTGACTATTCTAACCCTATGGTCATCTAGGCTCTGACCCTCTTTAACTTTTATTAAGCATCTGGCTCTAATCTTTTTGCTGCCTAATTCTGTTAATTAGCTTTTCACAAGCTTTTGAGTTATCTTCCAATTAGATTGTAAGCTCCTTAAAGGCAGACTCCTATATTCTGGTTTTCGTATCTTCCTCATGCATCTACATAGTAGATACTGTACATGTCCTGGTTTTGAAAAGTAACCTGGTCAATCCAAACTTGACCCAACATGTACATTTAGTGTTCTTTACAGATTTTTCTAGAACCATGTTCATACATCCTTTGTATAGACATGGATTTTCTGCTAGCCCAATCAATTCTTTGAGTTTTTGATATCAGAACTCGTCAGCGGACTCTGTGTCCCAGCCACAAGACTGCAGTTGTTCATCCTGTGGGAACTCAACTTCGATGTCATAAACGAAATTTGGATCATCCTTCTTCTTTTGATTTTTCTCAAAAAGTTCATCCATGATGCTCTTTCGCTTAGCAAGTTCCTTATCATCTAGTTTGTTCAGGTCTTCCTCAGGATCAATTGTTGTTTCCCGTTGAATTTGTTCCATTGTTTCTGCCAAACTCTGCCCCCACAAGTAACCTCGTAAAAAACTGAATAACTTCTCTAGCTGCCTCAGGGACACTTGTTCCAGGTAATTCTTGTGTCGCGGATTATTCTTTAATTGTTCAGCAGCTCTGTTGCAATCTAGGAGGGAAAAATGAAACTATATACCACACACAACAGATACACTGCAAACTACTGAAAGCATTATCTGCTGTGAGAGCCAAGTAGCTAAGTGGCTTTTTCAGAATGAATTATTTTCCAGAACTATTATTCCTTTATATCGAGCTTTGAGTGTGGTGGGGGGAGGAGGGTGCATTTTTTATTTCCTTAACTTAAAATCACTTTGAGGAGATGTTAAACACTTGCAACTGGAGAAAACATTTGAGATGAAAAGGATTTATTAGTTTTAGATATTAGCACTGGTACTAAGAAAAAATCAAGACTACAAATAAAAAACACATTTGGAGGGAGAGAAGGGATTCAGTATGATTGAATAATGCTATCTCATTTAACCCATATTACAATTCTGAAAGGGTGGGATTATCAATTTCCATTTACAGATCAGGAAATTGAAGCTCACTGACAATAAGTAATTTAGCTGGGGCTCACCTATCTACCCTGATAGTCATGATTTGAACCTAGGACTGTCTAACTCTGAAGGCCATGCCGCTCTGTTATGAGACTGAAATCATTCTTACTAAGTGATTTAGAGAACATTTAAGATAGGAGGCAAGATAAAACATGAGGTACCTGAAAACTTCGAAAAGTTTCGGACTGGCATGATGCGTTGGCGACTTTTCCCCTTCATTTCATTCTCATAGATTAAGATAATAGCTGGAGGCTGGAACCTAATTCCACATTTCTTGGCAGTGCACATCATTCTCACATACACTTCAGGGTAAATCAGAGGAAATCTGATGAAAATGTGTTAGTCACATAATAACTTCCTGCTAAAGGGGAAAAAAAATATGTGTTGGATAAATCACACTCCCCAGTACCCCTCCTCCCCAGCAGATCTGGCTCTAGTCCAGTTCTAGAGTTGCATGCTCAGCCTGTCAATTTCAATACTTTGAGACCTACCCTGAAAGTTCAGTTTGGCCCTGAGGTTATCCTTAGTTGTTGGATCCCTGGTTCATTGAGGCGTGTAGGTTTGTTCACACATGAGCCTGGAAATGCAGTTCAGTCTGGACCTCTTAGTGTACTGCACTCTTAACCAAAGATATGTATACGAACCCCTAAGTCAGCCCAAGAATCAACTTAGAGGATCTTTTTAATTTATCAATTAAACAAGTATGTACACGTACCCTCTATGGCAAGATACTATGATTTTTTAACCTTAAACATTATGTCCTGAGAGGTTCACCAGACCACATCTGTCTCCTCTGCACATTCCCAATCATTTTACTCATCAGGTTTTTTATGATTACTTATTGAATCATTTATCTTCCCTTCTATTCTATATGCTGCAGGAGGGCAGGGAACATATCCATTGTTCACCAGAATTTCTCAGCAAAATACCATACATACTTGTTTAATGTACTAGGGGTGCCTGGGTGGCTCAGTCAGTTGAGGGGCCAACTCTTGGTTTGGCTCAGGTCATGATCTCAGGGTGAGCCCGAGCCCCGCACTGGGCTCTGCACTCAGCAAGGAGTCTGCTTCTCTCCCTCTCCCCCTCCCCTCACTTGCACACACACTCACTCTCTCTCTAATAAATAAATAAATACAATCTTTAAAAAAAATTTAATTTAATGTACTAATATAAGATACAGCCCCTGTATATCCTTTAAGTGTTTATAGTCTATAAGTCTGATAAAAAATGCAGACCCGGTACAGATTCAACCTCTACATATACAAGGCAATAAAGTTTACATGGTTTTTATTTCAACTTATTTGTCTCACTATGTTTTCTCAGTTACAAGAAACACCGCTATTTTGCAGTTAACACTTTCTATTCCCTCTTCCTGGTGCCTAATGCCATAATACACTTAATTATAGGGATTGCTTTAGATAGGACTATGATATTCTCAGGAAGATTTGCAAATGTCAAGGAACTGAGAGGTAAAGCAGCATAGGGTGATGATACCTTCATAAACTTTATTCTGCTAGAGAATCACCATAGGAACATAGTACTTTGGAGAAGATTGGGGGTAGCATGGGGGAGGAGGAGGAGGAAACATATAAAATGATTACCCTTGATTCTTTCTTTTTTTCCTACACATATAGTTTTCTAGTATAGTATTTTTTATATTATACATCTATTTCCTGCCTTGTAAATTTAACAACTTATGTGATTTTGTCCTTAGATACTTTACTAAAATGCACATTTTTATGACTGTCAAGTGTTTTGTCCTATGGATATACCATTACCTATACTATTCACTCCTTATTGTTGGACGTCAGAATTTTTACTTTTAAGAAATTAATCAGAGGGTCACGTGGGTGGCTCAGTCGGTTAAGCATCAGCCTTCCACTCAGGTCATAATCCCAGGGTCCTGGGATCCAGCCCTGAATCAGGCTCCCTGCTCAGCGGGGAGCCTGCTTCTCTTTCTCCCTCTGCCTGCCTCTCTGCCTACTTGTGCTTTCTCTCTCTGTCAAATAAATGGATGAAATCTTAAAAAAAAAAAAAAAAGAAAGAAAGAAAGGAAGAAAAAAAGAAATTAATAATAAGGAACTGCCTTTTCAAATTACTGTGCTCTGATCTGATGCAAACGATCCCACCCCATCCCCTTCTACAAATACTACTCCCAGTTCACGTCATTAAAATCTGGTCTGTTAGTAAGCTTTCTAGGAGATCCTACCGAGCACAATATAAATTCCACGCACTCAAGCAAATAAATGGCTGTATTCATGACTGATGTACGCAATTGATAACAATGTCGCTTTTTTGACTACAGAGTCTTTTTAAAATTTAACTTTTGGGGGCGCCTGGGTGGCTCAGTCGGTTAAGTGTCTGCCTCCGCTCTGGGATCGAACCCCGCATCGGGCTCCCTGCTCGGCAGGAAGCCTGCTTCTCCCTCTCCCTCTCCCACTCCTCCTGCTTGTGTTCCCTCTCTCGCTGTCTCTCTCTGTCAAATAAATAAATAAAATCTTTTTAAAAATTTAACTTTTATTTGTACTAAAGTAATTTTATATTGTTTAAAATGTAAAATAATTCTGATGATTTTAACAAAAAACTGTTGTCCTCTGCCTTTCCTCTCTTCATAGGCAACCAGTTTCAATTCTTTTAAGTGTTTCTTCCAAAATCTACCTCCGTATTTTTTTTTTATTTTTAGATTTTATTTACTTATTTGACAGAGAAACAGCGAGAGCAGGAACACAAGCAGGGGGAGTGGGAGAGGGAGAAGCAGGCTTCCCGCTGAGCAGGGAGCCCGATGCGGGGCTCGATGCGGGGCTCGATGCGGGGCTCGATCCCAGGACCCTGAGATCATGACCTGAGCGGAAGGCAGACGCTTAACGACTGAGCCACCCAGGCGCCCCTATCTCCATATTTCTTAATTTCATGCTTATACTGCTATTTTCAGTTTTCGATAGTACAGTCTGACATCTTTCTTCTTGCAGACACCGGTCCTAGCTTCAATCTGCACCTGGGCCTACTTACAGATTCAATTTAATTCATGAAGACAGACGATACATTGACCTAACTCTTCCTTCTAGGAATTAATACTTTTCTCCCCAGGAATCAATGACTGCCATAATCTTGCTAAACATCCCCTGCAGCCCCTAAAAGTGTATAGATTTTGCCAACAGAGAGACGATCCTCTCCCTAACTCACGTCCCCGCTACTGCAAGACTGACTTTCTTACCCTTAAAGAAATACAGAAAGTGCATCTTCTGCAGGGGATGGTCTTAAAACCGCCGTGAGGGGTTTGTTTCCACCCAACTGTAGTGCACAGCGGAGCACTTAATTCGACTTTGAGGCCAGGCGGAGCCTGCTGCTGTAGGAAGAGGAGACAGCCATAAACCCGCAGACTTGACTGTAGGGTGAATTTCCCCGCAGAAAGGCCGTATCCGCAAGTACCTGGAAGTGGAGGTGGAGATAGGGAGCTCCCCGATACGGCTCGCAGGACTGCGCGGGGGTCTAGGTCTGGATGGGAGTCCAGGGAATCGTTCCCACAGCAACAGCCCTGGCGTAAGTCACGGCGCGTGCGCCGCTCCTTGCCCCGCCCCCCGACCCGACGGCGAGGGGCGGGGCGGCGAGGGAGCCACTAGGGTTGTCGCCTCCCGCAACGCCGGAAGCGTCGGGGGATTAGAGCTGCGGGAAGCCGGGGAACGGCAGGACCGCAGGCGCACGTACTGTCTTCCGTCACGGTCACTAACTCCGTGGCAGCACGCTCTAGGAGCGGCATAAGGCGTGCGCAGTCTCCTCAGTCCGCATTTCGTCCCCGCGCGCTCCTCTGGGGCCGCGTTCTCCAGCGTCCTGGCTCCCAGGGCCGTGGGCGTCCGAGCGGTGGCCTGGCTGCTCCTGTGGGAGGCGGCTGGACTCACCAGCACACCAGGCACGGCCTTCGCCGCCGCCCCCATCGATGCTGGTAAAGGGAGGGGCGGGGGGGCCGGTGGGTCGGGGGCAGTCAGGACTTTTCCATCCTCCGAGCTTTGCAAGGTTTGGTACTTCTCCGGACCTCGGTGCGCGGACGTAGAACCTGCTGGGTGACCTGGAGGAGGTTAAAAGCAGAGGCCACGTGCTTCCCACCCTTCCCACCCCACAGGCACTGCTCAGAGGCTTCTCTTGGGTCTCTGGAGAGTCTGGCTTTGTCGTTCAGAGGTAGTACTGGCCGTACTATTACTAAAATATCGTGAATGAAGTACGGCGGTCAAGTGTCTTGGGATGCATGAAGCTTGGGACCCCCGAGGGGACCAGCAAGGCCACAGTGCCCTGTGGGGTGTGAGAATTCCAGTCCAGAATCTCTAGAGACACTGACGGGGTAATGGCGTGGGAAGGGGAGGACAACTGGTTTTGCTTTACAAACTTTTTGTAATAGACTGGATTGGGCTGGAGCTTCTCTTACGACTACGGGCTGGGCAAGCGAGTTGATTCATTTCTTTGGGCCCGAGTTGGTGGGCCGCAGTGCTGTGGATCCAGCGCTGAGCTAAATACGGCCCCAACCCTTGTGGAGCTTGCAGAGTAGTGGGGAAGTGCCGTAGTAATTACAATAAGGAAAGTCAGTACAAATTAGGTAAGTTCCTCCATCTGTAAAGTGAGGATATTAGGCTAGTGTCAGTCACAGCTTTTGTGTCTTCACATATTAGGTTTCCAAATTTATTTGAAGTATTAATGAAGCCAAAATGAATTTTTAAACAACTGGACTTGGTGATCTCTAAAGACTCTTCCAGCCCTGGTATTTTATGATTAAAAAGAGGTCAGTTTCCAGAGCCAGTTCAGGCCACAGTAATCAAAGTAATATTTAAGAGGAAAAATCTTGAAGGTCATTCAGATGCAACCAATTCATTTTGAAAATGGTATTTTTGCTTTAAAAATCATAAACAATCTATTTGCTATACTGTTTGTAAATTACTTCCTACCATCCCAAGATGAATATGATTTACTATTCTGTAGTGTATATCCCAATAGAATTTAAGCCTATTAATCTGACCTTTTTTTCCTAGTTTAACTTATAGGTAGATATAAATCCTTACTCTCCACCCTTATTAAAATTAAACATAATGGAACATCTAGATTTGTAAAAAAGATACCCAAAGTTATTTTTTGGAAATGATTATATATGGTTCTCTGAAGCAAATGATGATTTTTTAAAATAGGAAAGTGGAAATATCTTAGGCTTTAAAACTCTGGCAAATCTTGCTTCTAATCAGTAACTTACTTAGTGGTATGGCCTAGAACCAGTTAAAACTGTTTATTACAGAGTTTCCTCCTGTGTGCAAATGGCAGTAATTTTGCCTGCCTGTTTTGCTAGGTTGTGAAAGTTAAAACATGTGAAATCCCCAAGTAGAGGATTTGTCATATGGATATCATTTAATAAATATTATTTTTCCATACTTTTTTCCTTCCCTTGTATATTTCAGTATTTTCATTTTCATATTTTTCATGCATCTTTTCAGGAATAAATCTAATAGACTTAGCAATACACAATAATATATGGTTTTCTTTGTGTTTGCTCTAATGTTCTTTCCATACACTTCCAGCTTTTGAAAATGGAGTAAAGTTCCATAGCAAGGTACCTGGCAGAGTTGATGGTCATCAGTAACTGAATTATTTATTTATTTATTTATCCATCCATCCATTTATTTATTTATTTATTTTTATCTATTTATTTATTTTTAGTTAGAGAAAATCTTAGGCAGGCTCCACACCCAGCACAGAGCCTGAGATCATGACCTGATCTGAAATCAAGAGTCACACGTTTAACTGACTGAGCCACCCAGGTGCCCCTGAATTTTTAATTTTATGATGCTGACATCGAGTAATAGTTTTAATATCTGACTTCTGCATGGTGTCAGTACAGTGAGATTTGGGGTTATTCTACGTTTATAAAGGAACCCTTTGAATCTTTCACAAGCCTCAGGTTTTTGTTTCTGTTTTAAACTTTCCCAACAGCTCCACAAGGTATAAATGTACCATCTTCTCAGTTTTGTAGGCATGGGTGGTAGAATACAGAAGTTGGCAGTACGTATCTGAAACACGGTTTCAGTGAACCAGGATTAAAACTTGAGTTTTCCTGGCTCTTTAGCCATTCTGTTCCTTTTGGTGTCCTGGGATCATCTGAATAAAATAGTATTAATGACAAACACATAGAGCTCTTACTATGTGGTAAGCCCTGTTCTGCATGCTTCTACATGTATTAAATTCTCATGACAAATACTAGAGAGATAAACTATCTTGTCCAAAGTCACATAGCTTTAAGGGACAGACTCAGATTTGAAACTAGGCAATTTAACACCAAAGTCAATGTTCTTAATGCCTATGCTTTATTAGAAGTAGCTTTTTAGATAGCTCAAATTGTTTAAGTTTTAAAAGCTTTTGTTTTGTTTATAGGTTGGTTAGATTTTCCAGGCAAGTAAAGCCTATTCAAACAATTTTCTAATTATTTAAGTATTCTTTCACTGAGTGCTTATTTTATTTTAAGAAATCTTCTGGTTCTTATAGGCATAAGGGCCACTTGTTCAGAAATTATTTTGAGGCAAGAAGTTTTGAAAGACGGTTTCCATAGGTAAGTTGCCCACTGACTTTTACTTATGTCATAGTACTGTTTCGTATAATTTAGAGCAAAAAATCAATAGCTGGAAAATGGATAAACTGAAAATTGCTTGCCTTCTTACAAGTTATAAGTGACAGATTTATCATCTGTGGTTCACAGTTTGAAATAATGATCAAAATAACAGTAGAGGGGGGTGCCTGGGTGGCTCAGTAGGTTAAGTGTCTGCCTTCGGCTCAGGTCATGATCTCAGGGTCCTGGGATGAGTCCTGTGTTGGGCTCCCTACTCAGCCGGGAGTCTGCTTCTCCCTCTGCTTGCCATTCTCCTTGCTTGCTCACGCACTCTCTCTGTCAAATAAATTATTAAAAATAAATACAGGGCGCCTGGGTGGCTCAGTTGGTTAAGTGACTGCCTTCGGCTCAGGTCATGATCCTGGAGTCCCGGGATCGAGTCCCGCATCGGGCTCCCTGCTCGGCAGGGAGTCTGCTTCTCCCTCTGACCCTCCCCCTCTCATGCTCTCTCTCTCTCATTCTTGCTCTCAAATAAATAAATAAAATCTTAAAAAATAAATAAATAAATACAATAACAGAGAAGAGGAGAAAACAAATGTGTATTATTTACCATGCATGTGTATTTTTTTAAAGATTTTATTTATTTTTGCGAGAGAGAGCGTGTGCGCATGAGCACGAGTGGAGGGAGTGGAGGGGCAGAGGAAGAAGCAGACTCCCTGCTGAGCAGGGAACCCGACACAGGACTCCATCCCAGGACCCCAGGATCATGACCTGAGCTGAAGGTAGGCACTTAACCAACTGAGCCACCCAGGTGCCCACATGTGTATTTTTTTTTTTTTTAAAGATTTTATTTATTTGACCGAGAGAGACACAGTGAGAGAGGGAACACAAGCAGGGGGAGTGGGAGAGGGAGAAGCAGGCTTCCCACGGTGCAGGGAGCCCGATGTGGGGCTCGATCCCAGGACCCTGGGACCATGACCTGAGCCGAAGGCAGACGCTTAACGACTGAGCCACCCAGGCGCCCCACATGTGTATTTTTAATATATATAACATACATATAGCCAGATTTACTTAATCTTCACAATGGTTGTGAGATAGACGATACCTTTCTTGTTTTTCACTTGATCTTAGCCAGAAGGCCAAAAAGTGATTCCCTTTTTTGCTTTTCAGATGAGAGAAGTAGGGTTCAGAGAATTTAAATAATTTAGTAAAAGTTAGGGTGGTAGGGCTCTAACTCAAATTTATGACTATCGTACTCCAAAGCCATGGTCTCATGTATTATATCACCCTAAATCACTGTTTCTGATTTATAAGACTTGGTTCCAAATGACCAAGCTGTTCCCAAAATAGAAATTATTCTTGGGCAACCATCTCAGGTCCCCTTCCTCTTTGGGAGCTTTGTACTCTATCATTCAATAAACTTTACTATCGCTCAGTAAACCTTGCTTTGCTTCCCACTTAAAAAAATTCTCAAAAATGAATATTTGCTAGTATTGAAGATATTTAAGAGTAATAAAAAGTTGTAGAAACTGTTCTGTAAGAAAACTTCCCAAACTTTAAAGTTTTTCAAGGTAATTAATTTGAAATGATTCTGATATTTGATATATAAAATCTGATACATTTATTTTTTAAAATCGCTGCATTTTATAAGTCACCTTAAACTGAGACATCTCACTCTCACTCTCTTTAAAGTTAGCCTACATGTGAATGGCTAGGAGGTATAGTAGAAAAAACTTGGGGTTTGTTTTGTTTTGTTTGTTTTTTAACTCAGACAGATTTGGGCTCAGAGTGTAGCTCTATTATTTAGTAACTGTCGGCCTAAGTCAAGCTTACTTAAATCTTTGCCACCTTACCAGTAAAATTAGATAATGATGGTATTTCCTCATTAGGTTCACAAGGATTAAATCTGAGAATATATGGGAAGTCTTTTAATGTAGTGCTTGTCACATAGTACATCCCCAGGAAATGTTAGTTTTTATTACAAACAAGGAGATAGATGATCAAGTTGGGCAATACAGTTTCAGTGAAAGAGGAGATGTGACTATAAAATAATAAAACTGATTTTGGGCTGGGGCGCCTGGGTGGCTCAGTCGGTTAAGCGGCTGCCTTCGGCTCGGGTCATGATCCTGGAGTCCTGGGATCGAGCCCCACGTCGGGCTCCCTGCTCAGCGGTGAGTCTGCTTCTTCCTCTCCCTCTGCCTGCCTCTCTGCCTACTTGTGTTCTCTATCTGTCAAATAAATAAATAAAATCTTTAAAAAAAAAAAACAAACAAACTGATTTTGGGAGGGAAGTCACTTCTAAAAGGAGTTTTTGACCAAGTTTTAGACAAATTTTAAGCAATGTCAGGGTAGTTATGCCAAGGTTATAGCTGCTTCTTTTTTTTTTTTTTTTTAAGATTTATTTGAGAGAGAGCATGTGTGCAAGCAGGGGGAGGGGCAGAGGCAGAGGGAGAGAGAATCACAAGCAGACTCCCCACTGAGCACCATCCCAGGACCCTGAGATCATGACCTGAGCAGAAATCAAGAGTCTGATGCCCAACCGACTGAACCACCCAGCACCCATGCCAAGGTTATAGCTTCTGTCCTTAGAGAAATTGGGATGTATTCTCAAGAGAAATAGGAAATACTAAATAATGCACATTTGACAGTGTAATTACTGTCAGTGAGGAAGAAAGAAGTTCCTGAAAAGGCTATTGTGGCAGCAAAAGTAGCTGTCCAGTTAGAAGTACTGAAGGTAAAAACCAGGACATGAAACCAAGGATGAAGAGTGACAGAACCCGTAAGAATAGATTCAGAAACTAGAAATCTCAGAGTTATTTGAGACCTTCAGAAAATGCCAGTAATCATTTTTTAAAAAGGCTTTTTAGGTAAATGGTTAGAGTAGGTGTAGTCTTGCTGCTAGGGTAGAGGAGGAAACATTAACAGATTATAGAAAGTAGAATTTGTTAGCTTTTCTTATTTCTGTCTTCTTGGTCAAGAAGAATTACTTCCACTCTGGAGAGGGCCAAGCAAATATTGGTAGGAGGAAACTGAAGTGCAGAATATGTAAGGGAGGGCGCCTGGGTGGCTCAGTTGGTTAAGCGACTGCCTTCGGCTCAGGTCATGATCCTGGAATCCCGGGACCGAGTCCTGCATCGGGCTCCCTGCTCGGCAGGGAGTCTGCTTCTCCCTCTCCCACTCCCCGTTTGTGTTCCCTCGCTCGCTGTGTCTTTCTCTGTCAAATAAATAAATAAAATCTTAAAAAAAAAAAAAAAAGAATATGTAAGGGAATTATATAAAAGGACCTTACTATTATGAATGAGTTTAGGGTCTCCCTTCTGTGATGATCTATAGTTCAGTGTAGTAGAAGAATTTGCTTAAATGATTGCTGAACTTCTGTTTGTAATCTTTGGATAATCTGGGAGTTAATTGATGTAGCTTCTGGGCAAAATTCTAGCCCAGATTGTTAAAAGGATGGTTTGTGAACACAGAAGAGGAAGTGGTAGTCTCTGGGAACTAGCATGAATTTATGACAAATTTATGTCCTTCATACAGATCCATTAGATAGGTAGATCAAAGAAATGCTGTAGATATAGTATATCTGATTTTCTGCAAGACTTTTGATGAAGTTTTACATGTTGTATTTGTGAACAAGATAAAGAATGTGAACTGAAAGATAAAACGGTTGAATGACTTCATAAAGATTAACAGAGTTATCCAACATGTTCTGATTAATAGATTGAATGTCATCTTGGAGGGAGGTCCTGAATAGTCTCTGTCTTTTTAAGTATATATATATTTTCTAATTATAAAATAGAACATGTTCATAAATACATATGCATTATCTGGAATAAAAGATATTATAGGTATATATTCTACTTTTATAGAGGAAGAGTGATATAGTGGCTAAGAATGTGGGCATTAGAGTAAAACTATTAGGGTTTGAATCCTGGCTCTTGGATAAATTAGTTTCTCAGTGCTTCGATTTTCTTTCTTTCTTTCTTTCTCTTTTTTTCAAGGAGGGAAAATATTTTTGTTTCCTCAAATCCTTTTGGATTTAATTTAATTTAAATCCTTTTGGATTTAATTGATTGGCGTATTCTACTCTTCGCTTTTACATCACTAGAAATATTTTTGGATGAAAATAGAATATAACAATACCACAAATATTATTCAAAATTCTTTCAATGAATACAAATTATTAGGAAAATAAAATGCCATATGTAAAATTACCTCAGGCTACTTGGAAGAATATAAGCAAAAAAAAAAAAAAAATCCAAAACAACTCTTTCTCTGTATAGCTGCTCTTAATAGTCAATTCTTGAAATTGCTGCTGTGTTCTAGGAGCAGTGTGTCCATAAAAATGTATTGATTGTCTGAGAACCAAAACCTAATATCATACATTTAAATAAAGTCTCAAAGCATTTCCCCATACCTTTTGAGTCAGAGGTAACAATTTTTCTATAAAGACTGTAACACGGGTGTTTTAACCCTGGTGCTTTGTTTTCTTACAGGTAAAAGGAATTATTATAGTACTATTTCATAGTGATTTTTTAAAGATTTATTTATTTATTTTGGGGGGAAGGGGTAAGGGAGAGTGAGAGAGAATCTCAAGCAGACTCTGTGCTGAGCGTGGGGCCTAAGGACCCCAAGATCATGACCTGAGCGAAACCAAGAGTCGGTCTTAACCGACTGCTCCATCCAGGCACCCCTCATAGTGATTTTTTAATCAACTTCATTGAGTTTTGACAGTTCTTTTTTTTTTTTTTAAGATTTTATTTATTTATGTGACAGAGAGAGACACAGCGAGAGAGGGAACACAAGCAGGGGGAGTGGGAGAGGGAGAAGCAGGCTTCCCACGGAGCAAGGAGCCCGATGCGGGGCTCGATCCCAGGACCCTGGGATCATGACCTGAGCCGAGGGCAGACACTTAACGACTGAGCCACCCAGGCGCCCCAAGTTTTGACAATTCTATATACCCATGTAACCACCACCCCAATCAAAATATAGAGTATTTTCATCAT